TCCAGGATCGCTTTCTCCTCCTGATGGACATTTACTCCAATCAGCCAGGACTAAATGTTGGCAACTGTCAGCCAAAGGACTTGTTCTTCAGCCAGCCCTCCACTGTGGAATGGACTGCTGGAAAATAGAGCATTAAAGACCAGTCTCTTTCATCAGGCTTATCCAGATAATTTTAATTTGTGAATTAAGATGTTGAATTTTAAAAGTAGACTGTTTGAAAATGTGCATGTCTTATTTGTCGATCCATGGGGAGAGGTGGGTAATAATAATAATAATAATAATAAGGAAAAGAGTATTGGCAAATCAGCAACTGTGAATGCAGAACTGCAGGGTGGAAAAAAATCAGAGCGCAAGGGCTGTGCTTGTGTGTGTGTGTGACTTCAGATGCTGATCTCCTTCTCCAGAATAAAGACCACTGGGCTGTAGTGGGAAATTTGTTCCCTGTGGACCTTGACTGTTGTGGTTGTTGTGTGCCTTCAAGTCGTTTCTGACTTGTGGTGACCTAAGACGAACCTATCATGGGGTTTTCTTGGCATGTTTCTTCAGAGGGGGGTTGACCATTGCCTTCCCCTGAGGCTGAGAGCATGTGGTTTGCCCAAGGTCACGCAGTGGGTTTCCGTGGCTGAGCTGGGAATCGAACCCTGCCCTCCAGAGTCATAGTCGAACACCCAAACCACTTTGCCACACTGGCGCTCCAATATTTGACTAGATATTATGTGCCTGCTCATCCTAAAGCAATAGTTTGTAATCTTTAGGGGTCATACACTCTTTTGAGAAATGGAGAAATTTCTTAGTAAAGTGTGCCTAAACACAATTTTCAATGTAATGGTGGGGGGGGGGGAGAGATGAAGGAGGAGGAGAGTGAGGAGAATACTTGATTCATACACACACTCCAGGCCCATCCACGAACCTTTTGAAGGGTCTGTGGACCACAGGTTAAGCACCCCTGGCCTGGAGTGAAACCATGATAGCAAAGACCAACCCAGTTTGGGAGTGATGTGGCAGTGAAATGGTGTAGTAAACATAAGTTTAAATGTGGATCCCAAAAGATACCCGGAACCATGTTAGTGAAGATTCTTCTCATCCAGGGATGGCCCTTTGGCCTGGCCAACGAGTTTCTATATAATTGTACAGCTGAGAAATAGTACTAATTTAAGGCATCGGACAGGCTTAATCTCTGTTGGCAGATGTCGCTTGCATTATCAGCCTCAATTGTGGTCTGTGAAAGAATGGAGTGTGGGGCTAGTTAGCTGGTTTTGCTGGTTCACAAAATGTGTCTCTTTGTTATTCTACTGAAGATGGCATAAACAGGATTTTGCTCACCAAAAAGCAGCAGAGTGAATTCCAAACTAACAAAGTAGATGTGTCCCCAGGCATTAATTGTTAAACAGAAAATTTGGGACTAGAGGCAGAAATAAGATGGAAAGAATAGGAGTAGCTTTGAACATCGCAAAAAGTTGCTCAGTTCAACACGTTCCATCCAACTTTTCACCCAAAACTAACAAAAGGCATATGTGAAATGAAACAACCAGGTCAGGTAAGTAAACAAAAACATTTTGAACTTTCTACAGACTACTTAAAAGCCTCTTCCAAATTGTATCCAGGGATTACGTTTTCTTTCAATAGCCCCCCCCCTTTTTTTTTTCTTATGATTTCCATTGTGTTGGCCAAGCTTACAGATGTATGCTTTTTTTAACATGCTAGTAACTTCAGATGCATCTGAGGAAGCAGACTGAAGTCTACAAAGCTCATGCTGCCAATTTCTTTCAGTTAGTCTCAAAGCTGCTACAAGATCTCTCTAGTACTGATTCTACAGACTAACAAGGCTATATCTTTGAATGGTAACTTCAGAGTCAGGCTTATCTGCTTTCCCCTTTTCTCTTTGTTTTGCTGTTCATGTAAGGGATTCTGGAGGCAGCTGCTGTTTACCTTTCCTGTGGTAGGCAGGCACACACAGTTACAGTAGGATTGGTTAAAGTAAAATTATTTTCTTCCCCCATCACAGTCTTCGTGTTGTTTACTACAGGCATGCTTCTGCAACCCAATAGTGAAAGCCTGTGCTTCTCCAGCCCGCCTTCTCCCAATGCTGATGCTGCTAAAAAAAAACACAGCTAGACTTCATCACTAGGAGGAAAAATGTAGCTTATTTGTCAGAAGCTTTGCTAACTAGGAATGCCTCTATTATATTCTTAATTTTGTTCTGAAAACAGGTAGGTCTTTTCTTCTTCTTTGCAGATGCAGAATATTACAGATGAGTTGCATGGGTCATTTCATACATTACTCAGAGCATGCATAGATTTGTCAGAGACCATACACTCAACAGGGAGCTGCAGCAGCAATGCAGCACTCCCTCATGAGCACACCTGTGTAGTGATCTTTCTGCAAACACATGCCCTCTGCTTGTCAACTCCCAGCATTTTTCACCACTGGTGATGCCACCTCCGGCTGAAGCCTTGCAGTATTTGGAGGGCTGCACTTTGCCACCCTTGATCAAAAGTGAAGTGCACAGTGAAATCTACATCTTCAGTTGCTGGGAGGCTTCACTTCACCACCCCTGCTGTAAAAAGCAGAGGGCATGTGTTTGCAGAGAGATCCCTACACAGCTGTAATAATAACAACATCATCATCTACAAGCGAAGTGTTAAATGTACGACAACTTCATTCTTCACCGCTGGTGATGCCACCTCCGGCTTAAGCCCTGCAATATTTGGAGGACTGCACTTTGCCACCCTTGATTAACAGTGAAGTGCACAGTGAAATCTACATCCTCAGTTGGACATTTAACACTTTGCCTGTGGATTTTGTTGTTTGTTTATTTATTTATTTATTTATTTATATCCTGTCCTTTCCCCAAAACTAGGACTCAGAGCTATTTACAAGTTTAAAAACAGTACAATTGAAAGCATAGAAAATATTACATTAAAACGGAATTAAATTATTACAATATTAAAACAGATATTAAAACAATATTTAGCACTTAGCCTGTGAATGTTCTCCTGCAACAGTGCACCTTGTGTCCTCGTAACGTGAGAACCTTAAGTGGGCCCACTTGTACAATGTTTGACTATAATAGTTTGAGTGATGGACTATGACTCTTGAGACCAGGGTTCGATTTCCATCTTGGCCATCAAACCCACTGGCTGACTTGGTGGCTGTTACTGGGACTCAAATGCTCTCAGCCTTAGGGGAAGGGAATGCTAGACCTCTTCTGAACAATTCTTGCCAAGAAAACCCCATGATTTCTTATATCCTGCCTTTTGCCTAAGCCAGGGACAGGCAACCTTTTTGAGACCTGGGCCGGTCTCCCATAGCCCAGGTCTTGGCTGGGCCGGGGGGGGAAATGGCGGCGCGTGCGCGCACCCCCGCCACCACGTGCTACCGCAGCCGCCGCTGTAGCGTGCGCGGCCACAGCCGCCACAGCACATGTCGCAGCCGCCATTTTGGTAGTCCAAATCGCGGTCGCGACGCGTTTGCGCATGTGTAAGAGTACTGCGCATGCGCAAACGCATCACAGCCGCCATTTTGATTTCCAAAATGGCGGCCGCAGTGATCACAGCCGAAAACGTGCCCTGGCGGCAGCGGCGGTGATGGCGGCAACCTTTGGCCTGGGCCGGTAAGTCCGGGGCCCGGGGTCTTAACCGGCCCCCGGGCCGTAGGTTGCCGGTCCCTGGCCTAAGCAATCAAGGCAGCTTACAAATATAAGATACAGATTAAAAACATACATTGCAACAATAACAGTAATATAATACGCCCCCCCAAAAGACTAAATACAATATTAAACATGATAGGTTTGCCTTAGGATTACCATAAGTCAGAAACAAGTTGAAAGCATAATACAACAAACAGAACAAGGCAGTAAGTTTTAAAGCAATAGAGCGTAGTGTTGCCAGGTTTTCAAAATAGCAATAAGAGACAGACAAAATGACATGCAAGGCTGACAGTCAGGAAGTAGATACAGGTAGAGTGTCCTTTATCTAAAATGCTTGGGACCAGAAATGGTTTGGATTTTCAGTTTTGGAATATTTTCATTTACATAATGAGATATTTTGGAGATGGGGACCCATCTCTAAAATACAAAATTTATTTATGTTTCTTATAAACCTTATACACATAACTTGAAGGTAATTTTATAAATAGTATTTTTAATAATTGTGTGCATGTAACAAAGTTTGTGTACAGAGTGAAGTCGTAGGCTTTCATGGCCGGCATCCATAGTTTTTTGTGGGTTTTTCGGGCTGTGTGGCCATTTCTAAAAGAGTTTCTTTCTGACGTTTCGCCAGCATCTATGGCTGGCATCCTCAGAACTCCATCAGAAAGTAAAGATGTCACTATCTCAGCCACCCATGTGGCCAATTCTGGATTTTGGAGTCGCATGGATTAAGATAAGGGATACTCAACCTGTATTAACCCAGCTGTGTAAAAAAGGTACCACATTCATAAATTACGTGACACATACATTTCTATGTGATGCTGCTCTTCCTTCTTCCCAAATACTACAGCTTCTACCAGGCAAAAGCCAATCACCTAGGGCATGGTGGGCAGTCTATGGTTGCCCAGAAGTCCCATCATATCGCAGCATGAAGGCTGGGAGGTCAAGGGAATCCCAGGCTCTGTGTTTTCGGGGGGCCAACCTGAGCTGACACCTAGGGATTGCCCCTTGTGGGAAGTGTTGGTTCCCTGGTGATATCATTAAGCATCATACATCAGCTAGATTTGTTCAAAGCATGCCATTCTGATGAAAAGCACAGAGCCTAAGGAATGAGGAAAGATTTCTTAGGTTGGAAATATAGGTTCTCCAAACTCTGTATTGAACAGGAAAACAAACCGACCAAAGATATAGCCGTATTAGTCTATAGAATCAGTATGTAGAGAGATCTTGTAGTACCTTTGAGACTAACTGAAAGAAAGAAGTTGGCAGCATGAGCTTTCGTAGACTTCAGTCCACTTCCTCAGATGCATTTGAGGAAGTAGACTTAAGTCTATGAAAGCTCATGCTGCCAACTTCTTTCTTTCAGTTAGTCTCAAAGGTGCTACAAGATCTCTCTACATATTTTCCTATGACTTTGCAAGTGGGAATCTGTGGGAATTACAATTGCGCAGTTGTGTAACATCCATATCCAGTAGAGGGCTCCTATTACATTACTACTTAGCACAACACTAAGGACCATTATACATTTTTGGGAGGAAAAGATGGAGATAATCATGATACATCATTAACTGGGCAAGAGAGACTAATCAGGCAATCCAAATAAACATTCCCATACAGAAGAAAGCTTTACTGGGTTTAAGTGGACTTACATCTTTAAAATGCTGAGAATTTAACATGTCCTTTTTTCCAAGCTCTGGTCTAGAGGGCCAGAAGTTTTGCAGCTCTGGGTTTGATTACAGATCTGTTGAGCGAGGACCTCGTTTTTGTCTTCACCATAAATTACACAGTATATTGCCATTGCTATATAACAAATGGAGCCATGCAGCGTCCTAGGGCAGGGGTAGGCAACCTTTTTGAGCCGGGGGCTGGGTTGCTGTCCCTCAGACAATTGGGGGGCCGAAGCACCAAAAATAAATAAATAAATAAAAATTAATTTTAAAAAAATTAAAAAAATGTGCATGCACACTCTCTCAGCTCCAGAAAAGTCATGGCAAAAACCCTGTGGAGATTTTGCCAAGAAAACCCCAAGAATAAGTAAGAAC